AATGGAAGAGGAAACGATGCAAGCGTTTCTTTGACGACAGAAGATGAAACGCAACCGTCGTGTCGGTTCTACCCACGAGGATCTCGTGTCCAAGACAGGCTTTAGCAACGTCCAGATACGCCAGGGCACACCGAGGTCCTCGCACTCGAGGACCTCGTAGCTCATTCTTCCTGTTTCTCTTCCTCATACCAAGATCAGTGACCAGCGAGTAGTCGAGTGGTCTGAACCCATGAGCGAGAGGTCCTTGTAGGGCATAATCTTTGAACCGACCCCCTCGTGCATCTCCAGTTCTCATTCGGTGAGTCTTAATTTTCTCCAATTACCTGCGCCTACGATTCGCCATTAACATGTATATACGAGCAGAGAATTGTAATACGCTTATTACGGGGACGAACGCGGCTCGAGATGCGAATCGCGAGACCGTAAGAAACGCGCTCCGCGTGTTATCCACCATCTACGTTTCGCTCCTGAATTCACGACCCTTTTTGGGACGCCGATTTTTTCGCTGTTTACGTAAAACTGAAATTCTGAAAAATTGGTGCCGCTAAAATCTGATTATGAATATGATTTACGTCGCCGATACTTTTTAATCGATGAATATACCAAAGTTATGGTATTGATTTTGAATGAGTAGAAAGCGTTACGGAGTTAAATGACATGTAAATTATGCAAAAAGTGTATAATAGCATCAACAAATTTTGTCTGTATGCGTGAAATTTAATAGTAAGCGAAGGTTAATAGCGAAGGTGATTTCAATGCGTGGTAAATACAATTTTTTAAAAAATCTTTTAAGTTTCATTTATTATTACCTAAATAATATCACGATACCATCCTACGATGCAACGTAGAAAGCGGATAACCTAATCGTAAGAACTAAATACCAAAGGATACAGTGTTCGAACGTCCCTGTGACTGGTTTCAGAACGAAACGTCGTAAAGGATAATTTGCAGCTGAAATGAGGCTCATCAGTCTTAACAGCTCGAATCAACGGAGCGTTTGCGTTCTCAGCACTTACAGAACGGACTGGAAGGTTTCCATAATCGCCTCTGTACCGTTCGATACCTGACATCGATGCTCGCGTACACCGTGGCCCGTTTCCCTATCAGAAAACATCGTCGTTTCGCCGGATAATTACACCGTCATGATAATTTGCAATAACGCGCTCTTCTCTTATCCCTCGTCTTACTCGGCGCATTGTTTTCCAACTCGGTCAATCGAGATGTCCTTCGATCGAGGATCGACCGAGATACCATCGAAATCTCAGGGTCGCTCGACCGCTCTCGAGACTCTCGTGCTAAACGACTCGTTCCAACGACACCGATCGACTGCACCTTCTTCCTTCGACACCTGTTCGCGGCTATGTCTACCTTGCTTCTAAGCTCGCAACAGGTTCATCGCTTTTCTTTGTTGCTTGTTTCTTTTATCGCGGTAAATCTTTGATTGTCGATGCCAAATAGAGAGTAAATGCACTTTTGAGTTATGGATGTTTTCTTGAATCAACATGATTGAATTTTAATACCAGGAAAGGTTATTCGTTGAACGTCCAAGGTACAGATGATATTTTAACGATCAATGAAAGATTCTACGGATTATCAAAAATCATCTTCTTTTAAACATATTTAGGTACATCTACGCTCTCGAGCATGCAAGTACTCGATCATCAACGTTTTTCTTGACTTTGCAGCGAACGTGTTAATGCAAGAAAAGAAAATAACAGTACTATTATGGTGATAGGTAATATAATCATTTGAGAAAGTTCGCGAATTTGCTAATCTAACGAAAGAAATATATAGTGTGTGTGAAATCTAATTAAATTATTACGCTACCGTGTTGATCGAGAGAATTACGACTTTCTCACCTGCAGCATTCTAGGAGATGTTACAAAACCAACAATTCAGCCAAAGGTTCTCAACGCTTCGTATACATTATACTTGACACCTCTGGGTGCGTCGAGGCAGGCACAGAGAATGCACGTTCGTTTACGCGATTATCCTGTTTCCTTTTGCAGTTTGTTATGCGGCATTTCATTTCGACGAGCAGGTGTGGATGGCCGTGTGTCACGTGTGTTGTGTGTGTCACCTTTGGCATCTCCTCTTCTCGCCGTCATCCTCGTCACCTCGTCATTATCTCGCCGCAATGATTACAATTATTATTCCGATCGGCCAATAATCATGTCCCGCACGTCCTAACTATACTCGCGTGTACGATTGCGATCAAGAATCACGTATGTACACCCTCCCCGTCCTAGTGTTTTACACGCTTCGTAAAATTCTAGAGAACAATTTTTTTTTTTTCTTCACACCCGGCTGAAGTTAAACTCTCTCTCGTAGCACTCTAAATGGCATGCTTGTACAACGATTAACTGATGAATTGACAGTTTAATATTACCAATTATACTGGATATTCAATATTTAAATTACAAGTGTACTCAATATTGTAAGTTCACCCTGTGAATTTGCATTCGAACGCCTTTATTAACTCTTTATGTACTCGTGTGACGTTGCGGTAACGTATCAAATTTCTTCAAGACTTTCTTCCGCGCATTTTCCATTGCACACGTATCATCAGCAATAAATTATAGAGTATTGAAACAAATACTCTGTGTCTCAAGCAGGTGGTGTGATTTAAAAATACAGAAATTTTTCAAGATTCCTTATCATTTATCCTTGCAAATGCAGAGAATTCGGATTATAGAGAGTTAAATGCTAAATCAATTATGTAAAGATACCTAAGCCTAATTCTGTAACTACATTCTAGAAAGATCAAGAGAAATTTTTCAAAAAATTATTTGGAAATTATTTGCAAGTATCATATTCTTAAAATAAATTAAACAAAATGCTTAGTGTTCGCTTAAAACACACTTGTGCCTCACTTTTCAATTCACAATTACCAGAGAGAGAGAGAGCAAAGATACCGCGTTATCGCACCTGCGGCTCGGTTTCAACTGAGATTACCATTATCAGAAGTAGCAGAATTAACGAGGCCCGACCGCAGGATCCTTTCGAGATTACCTCGAAGAGGATGCCCGTTCTGCACGGTAAGACGAACCCCGCGAGTACGCGCGATGACGCGCCGCGCCGCCACGATAGGACGCCGAGCGCGTCATGAGTCAGATATCCTGCAGGTTTCAGCGTGCCGGGTCAGGGGTCGATTGCATTTGCTTCTACCGCCCCCCACCCTTCTTCCGTCTCGTCGGCCCGTGTGTCTTGCAGTCCTTGATATTAGAATGGTCCAGGGGAACGCGCATCCAGTGACCGTTACACGTTGCAACGATGTGTACACACCAGGACAGAGGATCGTCCCTCGATCGTCGACTGACGACATCGCTTCATTATGATCCGTTGGATGTTCGATAGAATCGTTCCAGAGACGATCGTTCTTATAGTAGTTCCTTCTACGGTGACCTTTGAGTCGTTTTTTGGGGGATTTTATACGATTGGCTTTCTTAGCACGGTGATTTATAAGGACTGACCTCGTTTTGTGAAAGGGAGCCGGTAAAATTACCTGTTAGCAAGGAGTAGCTTCAGCTTTTTGTGGGATTATCCTGCAAAGGACAACCGAACAAGTAAGTCACGATTTAACAAATGATGCGCGTTCAAAGTTTTTAAGTATCAGGGTCAGCCATTCTCATCCGAAAGATCTACGAACGTACATTGAAACTAATTATTTTCAAATTTGAATACTGAAATTGTGTTAATATTGTATTAATAATGGGTCAAAAAAAAGACGTTGAAGAGTAAACCGGTGAAAAAAGTCTTGAAAATGGATAGTTAAATCGATGAAACGGAATAAGAGCTCTAAGCCCCGATATTTATGAACGGCAAAGCACCGTGTGGCTCAGGCAGAGCGCAAAAACTGCACCGAGATGAAGAGCGCTGGCAGCGATGCAAGTTCAAGGCTTCCGCGTGTTTTTAACGTGCCAAGACATCAATCATACTTCAATGCGCGAGCAGCACCGGCAAAAAAATGAAGGCGAAGTAGCAGAAAAAGCGGGTGATTTAATAAATCCAGTCCAGAATAAATAGAGTGCCGTCGGGACTCGAGGGGTCACGGTTGCGGATTTAAATTGGCGCAAGTACTATCGACGCTATTAAAATTGCAAATCGACAGCTGCGTTTATTGCGAAACGTTGAGAAAATCACGTTCGATCGATGCTCCAATTTATTCCATCTTCGTTGAGAAGTTTCAACCTTGAACCTTCGACGATTCCTATTTTTTTTTTCTTACAATCAGCTCGCATCCTTGGATCCTCGCGACTTTTTCGCGTCGTTCACCGCTTACTTGCACTTCGCGGATGCTCAAGGACGCCGATTCAAGCAGGATCGATCGCTTTTCCCGATCCTTATCTTCTCGCAGCATTTTTCACCTCGCCTCGTGATCGAACACCGTGAACGAACGATGCTGTTCACCGATGAACACCGATCCTATCGATGTTTTCCTTCTTTCTGTTCATTTTTTCACCCCGTTACCCTGCGCCCGTTCCGACTACAGCCTCTCGATACCTCTCGTTCGTCGAACCTGACCCGAAATTATGCAAATACGAACCGGTAGCCACGATCACGACCTTGATTCCGCGCGATCGTTCGTTCCTTCTTTTTTAGAAGATTGGGAACGAATCGAGTTTGGTCAAGGTTCCCTAATTGCGAGCCACAATGGGGATTCATCTGGATGGTTGTTTGGATTAACGAACAAAAAAAAAAAAAGAAAAAACGAACGTGACGTGTACCGAACAAGGAACGATTAGAAGGTGTTCGTGGTTTCTTTGTAATCGTTTCGATCGACGAGATGGAAAAAGCTTGGACGAAGATGCGTCATTGTGCCGATTCTTAATCGATTAGTTCATAGGGGAAAGCGTTTATTGCTGGTCGACCGCGTTGAAAATAACGCGTTACTGGATATTGAAATCACTGCTGAAGATGACCAATGTTGATTAATGTTTATTCGCAGAAGAACGGGAATCCAAGAGTACAGTGAGTCGGAGTGATAGATAAATGAGGATTCTAAGAGCGTGCGAAAATGGGAGGAAAATAGAACGGGTGTTCAAGATGAGAATTTTGCGATAAATTGTGAATTAAAATAGCTGATGACTGCTTACGAAATTTCATTTGTCATCCAGATCAAAGTGTTTAATGATAGAAATAACTTCCTCTGTCTAGCTATAAAACATCTGTTATCTCGACAATAAATAATGTTGTTAGAGGAGAAAAAAGAAGACCCTGATCAACATAAGCAAAGGTGAGAAAACATAAACCGTGTTTACAGTCGTTTAGGATTGTACTCGATCCTAATCATTTAAACGAGCGTCGACGTTAAAATAAATCGTATGCAGTCTCGACGCGACGCGTCGCCTTGCTGGATCCTTGTTGCGATTAATGATCAATTAGGTCGACCGTTTTGCATATTCAATACGGGTGACAAGTTCAACGCGCGGTACAAATAGAGAAAAAAAGTAACAACTTTGATCGTTATCGTTAATGAATCGTTTGTACAATGCCCGGAGCGTGGTCATTGTTACGTTTCCTGGTGAAAAAAGTAAAACTCGGACTATCCTTTTTGTCGTTTGTAAATCAATCTTTTTTTTCTTACGTTGAAAACACCTTCGTGCCGGTGATTTAAAAGTCAGCTGGCTAGCAAGCTTTCTAACGGGCTGAGTTACGAGAGCCACGGAGATTTAATAACACCTTCGAGCAGTCAGTCACTTTCGATCGAACCGTTTAATCATGGCGAGTGTGTTCGTCTTAAATTTTGAATGACGTTCGTGGAAATTCCGTTGGCGCAGAGTGTGTTTGCTCTTCTTCCAGCTTCACGGACAGTTTGACCCATTAAATATCAAGGACGGTACGTGGACAAAAAACAAGTAATCAGGCCCTTAAGTACCTAATGATGTGATTCGTTCTGTTCCATCAATCAATTATATAAACGTTTTTTGCTTTAATTTTTTTCACGCCAGGCCGATATTTGGGTGCTAAGATTATTTCAGGTGTAAAATTAAATATGGTAGATTCTTAGTATGTTTGTAATAATAGACTTTTGGGGTAATTATATTAATCCTCGGACGAATCCTAGCAAACATAATTGCTATAATAATTAATAATTCCGTACATACTGCGTTAGTACTATATCTCCGTCCCCTTAAAACTTCAACAGCTGGAACCTCATCCTCCAAGTTATCCGACTGTATAACCACCCTCCTTGAGGGGAGCAGCCCATATACTAAATCGAAATCCTGCGTTATATTCTTGACGCACAACACGTAAAGATTTATAATATATGCTTTGAAGGATAATATAATTATTTCCTTCAATTTAAATTAATAATACTCTGTGCAATGTTCCGTCCTCAAAGGGTTAATTTAATTTTGCATTTCATACTATCACGTATACCTAACTGTACCAAATACAGAATTTGTTAAAAAATACCACAAAGAATACCATTATGTAAAGCGAAAATTTTGAAGATATCGTTTCGCAACACGTTCTCAGGATAAATAAATGCTTGCTGCAACGGCGAGCGCAGCCTGGATTAAGGACAAACGGTACACGGTCGGGTCTCTCGCGTGAACGCAAGGCGAAAAATGTGTAATACACGGTTCTTAGAGAATAAAGCCGAGAAATCATCCGTGTACACCCCGAAGCGATTCCACGAGCGTGGAATTCGCGAATTACCAAGAGGATACGGCAAGACGTACCGGCGTGTATTTCGACCGGGCACGACCGACCGGTGCGCGATTACGCAAGCCGAAGAGGAGGCAGGTTAAGCGGATCGTCGTAGCCCTGCAGCCGCAGCAGACCCAGTTCTCATCTATTAACTCGCAATTACCCGGTGAACAATGTGATTACGGCCGCGTTTAAGTCGTTACGCGACGCTCGCGAGACGCCTATCCTCTTCCACTCGACAACGCTCGTTGCTGCTTCCTCTTCCCTCGTTTCAACATCGGCTTGTCTCGCTCCTTCGGCGACATTATACTATCGCCGTGCGAAAGACGGAAGTTTCGCGTGAGGTGGCTGGATACAGGCTGTTGTTCCAGTAATAGTAATTCGTGACGAATAATGGTTAGCTGGATGGTGGTAAGGTATTGTGGATAAACCCTCGGGATGTGGGATGGTATTCAAGCGCGATAGTGGATGCGAGTGATGTTTAAATGATTTTTAGACCGTTTTAACACGTTCACTGCGATAAGGATCATCAACGTTATGAATTTAATTCAATGGACCACGATTTTAATCGCTAATTTCAGCAGCACAAATTTAATATAATCCAAGGAAACGAAATTTCAAAAAATTTATTGAGATGTTAATGTTATATTCATTTCTGTTGAATATTTATAGCTTGCTGTGCCAAATACATTCATTTTCACTGCGGCATTTAACGGGTTAAAGTGTGCCGAGCTATACACGACCTTTTCTACTGGCAGTCAGCTTGGTTAAGTGTATTGCAGATGACAGCCATATTTGTGCCTCAGGAACCAGAACGAGAATGATAGAGCTGTCAATGGTGAACCCCAATATTAGAATAATCATCGATCCATTGAATATTCCTTTCCCTGTGGTACTGTGTAAAAATAAATAACAACCAAGATGGTATATATATAAATAGCGTTCAGTATTCGTTTTTCCTGTTTCCTAATTATTCATAGCACCAATTACCGTTGACGATTGAGACTTTATGGCGTCGATAAAAGTCAAGTCGCTTCTCTTCGCTGTCTATCCAGCGAAATTTCACAGGGTCGCAAGAAATAGCGACGACAAGTGGCGCCGAGTGGATCAACGAGGACCCTAGAGCGTCGTTTCTTGCGCAACGAACCGGCGATCCGTCTTCTTGGTGACGACGATCGATCGGTGCGCTCGTTCAATTACTCTGCCGTGCATTCTACGCGAGCGAAGGCAAGGTTCAAGGACGTGACTGAATGCGTTCTACCGGCGCTGGTTTCGCCAAGTTCCGGTATCGATGAGTCACTCGATGTATGCTGAATTATACAAGTGATCTTTGACTGTACCCCTGTTGCATCGACCAACACAGCGGACGGGATCATCGTAAGCGCGAATCAACGATTGGAATCGACAAACATTTCTTTCTCTTTGGGTTAAAGATCATCATCAACCTGTTGGATAGTTATTGTATAAATCCAACTGCTTCCTCGAAATATTTCTATAATATTATTTCTGGTGTCCTCTGTACTTTGCGCCGGAGTTGTGTAACGAATTTAACGCGTGAAATACCGTGGTCGTTTCGTAATCGGATCAGGAAAGGAAAAAGGAAATTATATGGCCCGTTAAACGGGTCCCACCGTCACCCGTTTACCATAGTTAGTCAGACATTCTGGATCACCGCCTTATCCGGTGCAATTTTGTCAAACGTAATTAAATTTTATGAGACAGCGAACGACGACTCTGTAGTTTTTCCCTTTTCGTCTGAAGTGAAAATTTAAAAAGTATAAAATATAAAATTAGCGAAGCAATGGAACGTTTATGAACGGAATCAAATCATAGCACCCTAAGAACCTCCGTTTAACGTTCTTTAGAACGTCGAGCAAAGCTGTACGGGGAATGGCCGTGAAAAGAGAAAGAGTCGTAATCGCGCGATCGATCTTTCGTCGCGGCGAAGACGTTCGATCTGTCCGTGGATCATTGAAGGAGGTCGTGGATCGTTAGAGAGGTACAGGGAATCGGAACGTCGGCGTTACGATGTTTATTCGCGCCCGTTCCTCCTCCGTGAGTCGTCTGACAAACGGGGGGGAAAAAAGCGAATTACGAATGGCTCACAAATTACTGCGCTCGTTCGACATCATTAATTAGAGAGCATGACTCATGTTATCGAACGAGCACGGACGCCTCTTATTGCCGATACGTATTAGCTGGGAACCTTTCAGAACGCCCGAGTTCTCGCTACGATTACGTAATCGCACCCTTTTCCCGACCATTCAGAGGAAGGACACGAGGAACGCGTTGGACGAACTTTATGGGAGTCTAAGATCATTACTTCTCAGTCGAGCAATTTTATTAACTATGTTTCTCCTTGCATTATTAGTATAATAATATCGTGTAGGATGGTTAAACGGTATAAAATAATAATTTATTCAATTTATTAATACAATACCGTTAAAATTCCTACAATTGCTATTCAGATTTTGGCCTTCAATTATTTGATAATTTGAAATTTAAATCAAAATAAAAACAATTAAAACTCTTGAGAACAATCGAACCGAGAAATCAAGTCCTGAACCTTTCAGCATCTCTCGAATTCCGCGATCCACAGCTTCATTCCAGCGCCCGTAAGAAAGGCAGTGGAAAAAGAATAAAAAGAGACGGAGAAAAAATTAATCGGTAAAGTGGAGTGTCGTTGACAGACGGCTTTCACCGTTCGAATATTTTCGTGGCCGCGTAATAATAGCTCGTTGCTGATTCGCGGAAAAGCGTAGCTTGCACGCGCGCGGAAAAACAGTGCTCTCACGGGATAATAGGTGGACGTGGATGCTGGATACGGCGCGTTATGGCCGGTTAATGAGAAAATCTTAATCACGCGCGTGACACGCGTGCCTGCACGTTATTCGCGCGTGTAATAATCCCGGCATGGTTTCCCGGCGCGGCGCGTTGCTCGGCGAACGCATCGCGAGGGGACGCCTCTCGGCATCGACGCGTAGAACGAATCGCCGTCGACGCCGCGCCGCGCCGTGCCGCACCGTATTCCTACGGTGCTGTGAGAAAGGCCGCGCCAGAATACGCGATTAGAGGCCGAAGATGAGAACGATGAAGCGTTGGGAACACACAGAAAACACACGAGGCCGCCGGCTGATAATGCAAGTTACCGGTTACGTGCTTCAAATGTTTCGAGTCCAATTTCAACGGGTCTTCTTCGTCGCATGGGAAAAGATTCTTCACTTGAGAAACTTCGAAGATACTTAACCCTTTCGCTGCCAGGGTGGTCCCATGGGACCGGTGCTTGTCTTTTCATTTGGGCCATGGTGGTCATCGGTGATTGTACCGTCATTTTAATATATTTCGCAGTTCTTTGCCATTATAAAATTTTCAATATGAAATTTGTGGCCCACTGGTGCAAGTTTAAAAATTCGCGTGGCAACGAAAGGGTTAATACTTCGACAGATACATTCGTGTATTTTTGATTTTTATACTTTTCTTTTTATATCAAGTACTATTTTGCACCTTATTTCTATCTAATCTATCAGATACATAAAGTATCATATAGGATTTTATGAAAAATTACTAATTATGAAAAGGAGTATAAAATTGCAAGATCCTATTTAATGTACCGCGATCAAGGAGTTAGCGCGTAGATCGGCCCAGTAGAAATATCAGTATTTAGTACGACATATGGATTATTAAAGATATCACCACATTATTCACTGGCTGCACACGATTAAACTATTTTTAATTATTAAGTGGAAAATAATTAATTAATCTTTGAAGTTCTCTAGTTTCAGGTCATCACCTACATTTGAATAATTACCTGGTGTAAAAAGATTGAGAAGAAATCTATGAAACACGTAACATAGTTAATGGCATCGATGTAAATTTACACAATCATCATTTCCCATCGACAGGATGCAAAAGAAGAATTCAGACGAGAGGTAGTGGAGCATTGATAAACGGCGTTTATGTAGTACCTACCCGTAACATACGAGGCTTCTGGGCTTGTTAACTACCAGTCTTGCTCGCACCTAACACGCACCAAGAGCCTCTAATTACAAGGCCGCGAGAAACTCGCCACGAGGAAAAACCGATCGCATTACGCACGATAATCTCCATCGAAGCGTCAACGACAGGCTGCATAATAGCAAAAAATAACCGATGCAAATTGACCGCCATCGATCGTGTTGATCGCTGTAGAATGTAGAATGCCCGTTCGATTCCCTGATTCCAGAGAATGAATTAATTAGCGTAATTAGCACGTAAATTCAAGCAGACTGCCTAGCTGTCACTATTAATCCCGATCGAGGAGTAAAATCTGATTCTGTATACGTGATAATTAGCCTTTGACGTGGCTGCCATTTTCTTGTATAAACGATATCTATACTCAATCCAACGAGAGGAGACAGTAAATGCGTACAAACTCACGTGTTCGAAGCAGGCTCGAATCACACCTGGACCGAAACGTTTGAAGAACTGGAAACAACTGAGTCTCGGCCCTGCGTCGAGCGCGTTGGACGGATTGTAGATGGCATCTATGATCTATCTGAAATTTAATTTTCAACTAGTAAACTAGGAGATTTATGAAAGCTCAGGGTACAGATTTGTTAGTATAAAAATTTGGAATTAAAAAATTAACACCTTGAATTCTATCAAAAAATTCTATTCTAAGTAGTCGCAATATTATAGACATTAATTTTATAAAGTAACGAATAGAAAATTTAAATTGAAAAATACAACGATCCTGTATGTAACGTATTAAAGAAATTATAACTAATATTGTACTCTTTAAAATAAATACCACGTGTAATGGTAAAATAATTCAAATTTCGGGAATTATTCATGCTGTGCGGCCGTAATGAACTGTTAAAAGAATTAATGAAATGAGAAGAGAAATTGATGTAATCAATAAATAAATTTGCATTCTGACATTTACTGTTGATTGGATCCCCGTGGTCGTTGTTGAATTCGCGTAATAGTAACGGAAAAAAAAACAAATTAATGTAGTCCTCGGGAGGATCGGACGAATATTAACATTGATTAAATACGAAATTTATGGAACGAGCCATTAATTATTTTGACGAGGAACTATAAACCTGTCAAAATTCTACGACAACCTATATTTGACCCATCGAACGTCTGCCCGTGATAATTTATAATTATGATTGGTTTGTTTTTAATGGTACTTGTACTTTCGAATGCCACATGTTGCTGTTTCATGTTTCAGCAACTACACTGCGCAATGAATGAAATCAATAATTAATCTTTGTAATTGCTCTTCGGTAAATTTAATCAATTAGTTTCAGAGAAATTTATAATATAATATAATCAAAAGTGTAATCTTAAATGAAATACGTAAGATGATAAGTTCGTTCACCCCAATAATGTTTCAAGTTTCTAAGGTAACAGTGAACCCAATTCGACCCCTAACCGGTGCATCTCGTGATCGAGGGGGAAGGAATTTATTGGGAGCCCTTGCACCTGAAAGTCGCTCACCTGCCAGCTGTTTCGAGCTGAAGGAATTTTCGGTGGAACGACCTGATACTCACACGATGCCCATAAATTCTCAAAGGATCTTTCACAGTAAACGGAGCGTAACGTGATCGTGTCTGGAGAAAATATTTCAAAGTACCCCAGTGAATATAATCAACGTTTAATTTCTTTTTTGTCGCAATCCTTTCAAATTACGAGATTACTTTTTATTATTTGCTGCGTGTCTACTTGTATTTTCTTGACATGTTATTTACATGAAATAGTGATATCATTTTTAAGGTATGTGCTTGTTCCAGAATGTATAAGAAGAAAAATAAATTGCAAACACATGTACATTCCACGTGTTACACAAAGTATACGACAGGATCATTCTACGCGTTAAGGGTTGAACAATCTCATAAAACATACGTCAGAGTGGTAAATCAATAGCACTGAATTCCTTTCGAAATATCCTATTAAAGTTCAATAAAAATAATTTCTGCGCATAGCGATAATTCCATTGGCAAAACGCTCTATATGTCTCGAGAGTGGTCGGCGGAGATCAGAACGCGCGGTCAAGCGAGTTAGCGGACAGAGCTGGCACGATTAGTGACCCGGTTTCGATCCGTCCAGTCGACATTCGTCACTGTCAAGAATACGTAGCTGATAAATCGCCGTTTAATCGCGACAGAAACCGACCGTCGGTGACACATTGAACGTTCGAGGAAAGAAAAATCACTCTCCCCGTGGAACGAGCGTGGAAGCGGATCGGCAGGTACGTAAAAGGCCTCATCGCGCGACTTTCCTTACCTCTGACAAAAAGCTGCTCCAGTTTACCTCGTCCACGAGAGAGGAGAGCGTACGACAACGACGACGTTCCACGTTGACGTACGTACAAATCTTCGTGAAAAGAGGAGAGACGGTTTAGCCGACGCGGGGAAATAAATCAGCGCGGCGCTTCTGCGAGTACTTTCCCGTTGTGGGGCCGACAGTAGGGACCATGCGCGCGGTTACGCGCGAGACAGCAGCCAACAAAACGAGTCGGCGTTCGCGCCAAACAAGGTTTAATTGCCAGAGCATTGACATGCGTGCGGCTCGCCCTCGGTGGCGGTCTACGCAACCGCACCTTTTGTCTTCGGCTTCGTGGAACTTCCACGCGACTGTCGACAGGAAAGTCCGCGGCCCCGTTTCGCAACCTCGCGGAAACGATCGTTTTATTGCTGCCAAAGAGAGGGAAACTCGGATTTTCAGAGTTTGACAAAAATGTTGAAAATAAATATTTTTTCAAGGTAGAAATGTAACTGCTGCTCAAATGGTTCATAAGTTCGTTTCAGCTGCTCGGGGCTTACTTTTGAATCATCGGCTTGGGAGTCAAGAACAGCACCCCCGGTCTTCCTCTAGCAAAGATGCCGCGGATTATGGGATTCCTCACTTCTTTCGGGCCGAGCGTAGCGTTATTCTTGCCTTCGAGCAAGGTCTATCGCGGGATCGTGAGAAAAACTAGTAAACGATGATTCAACGCTCCTCCGATTCATGAACAAACGCTTTGCCGAGATCTACGACATGGTTTACGATAAAATGACATAATTATGATAAATTCGACTCCATTTTAGGCTGTTCGAATATGCTGCTCTCCCGGATGAACACTATCGATGAGAATTTATATCGCAATATTTTCGGATTACGTTTTTCTACAATAATTCAATGATTTGAAAGTGTATTTTTATAAATAAACAGGAAGATAAGCTTACCTACATATTAAATGCCTAACATACCATTGAATGTTATAAGAGAAGAGAAATATTTTTCGTTGAAAAATGTTTGGGATTCCTTGCCATTCTATTCAGTTTCAACATCTAGCGAGAAACCATTTCGCCAATCGAATGAAGAAATCGATACAACCTTAGATCGAAACTATTTCACGAAGCGTGAAATCGTTGAGGTAAGCAGGTCGATCGACACGATCGAACATACGGGTACAAAGTTGGTACACACCGTATCGGGTCGCAGAATCTTTATTACCGGTGTTCTACCATGAACTTCCTTGGAATGAAGCGATAGCAACGGTTGCAACAGCTACAATATCGTATCGGCGACAATCGATCGCGAACCGATTCCGAAAGGACTACGCGGCTAAGTTTCTCATGATGCACCGTTCTAGGCTGTCAAGGAACTTTCACGGCCCTGAGAGAAGGAACGTGAGGTCCTTGACCGTTTCTCGCGATCCCTTTAATAAATTACGCCAACGAGAGTTATGAAAAGCGATCGGAACGCGGTTGTTGGCTCTCCCGTCGATTATAATCTGACCGGCTATCGATCTGGCGCGATGAAAAATCTCGTAATCGATCTGGCACCATCGGTACGTAATTACGGCCACGATCAGATACGACGCCCAGTCACCTGGTTCGTGAATTTTTCATCGGCTCGAACGGAATCGTGCAACGCGAAATCGTTGTGGAAAGCGTGAATGATACTCGTAGCACAACAGGAGGGAAAAGGTCGACCATTGTGTTGAAGGAACGATGTCAACCTTGAAGCGTTCAAGAGCTTTCGAAGACGTTAGAAGTTACTTTCTGTTCGCTATCCTTCCTCGAGAGATGTTTCATTGAAGTATCTTATGCCAGATAGTAAAATAGAAAGATCATAATCCTGGTAAATGTATCTTGGTGCCGAGCTAACGGTAAATAATTAGATAAGGAACGAAATTCCTAATAATATAGATAATGCCTTCCTTCGACAATTCAAGTGTCACTCAATTATGGGTGAAATGGCATTCAATGTGTTAAATGAGAAAATTTCATTCAAATAGAGCTTGTTTAATGGAAAAATTTCATAAAACTTATTTAGAAATTTCTATTTAAAGAAAAAAGTAGATTATTTCACCCTCGATCGTTTTTTCACTGTACAATTAATTTAAATAAAAGCATTTGAAATCTGATTGTTCAATATTCACAGTCTGAGTTTTTTTACCTTTCACCACTTCTCGGTACAAAAATAAACCCTCGCCGAAATCACAACATGCAAGATCGAAAGAATAAAAGAAACACGAAAGAAACAATCTCATTCGTCATGTTCGATCTAACGAATCGCGGTTCGAGGCGTTAAAAGCGTGCCAGCCTCGCGTCTCCTCGCGGCTTATTATCTGCGAAACAATAAAATTGCCCGATAAGGATCGTCTGGTTGGCGAGGTAGGGGCCGTGAAGTATTTCCTCGTAGCGAGGCGCGGACGTTACCGATGTCCGATTGAAATCGATTTATGGTCCAGCGACAAGACGTGGATATCGCCCGGGGCGGGGTCGAAACGGAACGGAACGGAACGTAACGCGTGAGTTTCGGGACGTGGGAAGCTCGTGATTTTTTCATACTTCCCTCCTCCTCTTCACCCTTTCCTCGTTGTTCTCCGACGAGATACCGTCGCTGAGAAGATCGGGTGAGTGGTGAATGAGTCACCCGTAGGAGTGGTGACTCGCCCTGCGATCCGCGTGATCGGCGGCTCTCCGATTCGTGTTTCGTGTTCTCTGACGGCGCAAGAAACGCCGGCCGCGGGCTTGTTAACCGTCAAAACGAATGACGTCCCGACGTTTTACACGACGTGCACGAGTTCGTCTTCCGTGGACGAGGACGCGAGGGAGAACCGATCGCCTGGAATAAGAAGTTCGATCGCACGATCGCTTAAGAAAATCCTACGTACCGATACGCGGTGTGCGCCCAGGGGGTACGGTTTAAACTCGAACGTTCCTTTTCACCATTATCAGTCGCGAGTACCGGATACATTGTAGCAACGAGGTCGCCGCGTGTTTCTCATTAGACATTGATTACCGTACGACGGCTGGGAATAAGAGAAATCTTCATTCTATCGACGGCTTCTTCGTTTGTCAATCGATCGATCAAATCTAACTGCGATGTTTGATATCGGCATCGATCACTGATAACATCGATCCAAAATAATCGCGCATCATTAGACAGAGATTTCTTAACAGGCTAACTAGTCAAGCGAAACGATATGTGCAATGATTGGAAAATTTTGACAGTGAAATTGACGAAGTTGATTCGAAAAGATATAAGCAAGTCTCT